GGAATATGAGAATTTCCAATCATGCTCCAGGTAGAAAGATGAAGATAATTTTTTTTAAGAAAAGGTAAAAGTGTTAAGGATGTACTGGTTAAAAATGGCAGACTCTGCTGCTCTGGTCTGCCTTTTCAGCTCTCTCTGTAATTAGAGTGACTCAGTGATAAAAGATCATGATTTACAAATCGATCACTGTGGTGAGATGTTCTGCTGTGATGTTTATGGTGCCAGCTATATGCATTTAAAGGCAAGAAAAACAAAACAAAACAAAACAATAAACAAGTGAAGTTCTGTTTACCACAAAAAAATAGTTTAAGATTAAAGAGTGCACAGTAAGAATACAGGATATTCCAAAGCTTTTTCTCCCTTTTGTCCTCCCATCCTTTTAAAAATTATGAATAAATGATTCATAATCTTGTAATATTGTAACAATGGGCTATTATCCTCACTTTGTGTATTTATTTATTATTTTTAATTGTATGGTTGGTTATGCTAGGAATAAGCAATAAGCCCTGTTCCTGCTATGTTTGTTTCATTGAAAAACTGTGGGTTTTTTCCTGTCTTCTCTTGTCTGTAATTTTTCAAAATAAAATAGTATTAATTGCCTTAGAAGAAGTTAAATGCAGTGCTTCTGGAGATGTGTATAATACATTGTGAGTGTTTTCTGATAAACTTTACTCCCCTAAGACAGCAAATTAACATTGGTCTTCTGTAAAGAGTAAGTTAAGTTTTATTTGTGTTATATACTACTTTAAACCTTACCATGTAATGAGTTTATAATCTGGAGGTGATTTTTGTTAACTAAAATGCTTTCATTGTCTTAACACTGACTGGGCCAACTAATTCTAAGCAAGTGGAGCTCATACCCCATCCATCTTTATTGTACCTCGTAATAAGGAACCCTCTAGGCTTGACATACTGTCATGACAGTTATTCAGGAGACATTATAGAGCAGTTGTATCTGTCAGCTCATGCAGTATGGAGTATTTTAACTGGCGGACTTCCAAGAGTGAACATTAATCTTAGCATCTCTTCTTACAGTCCCTAATCAAGATATTCCAGGGGTGATTGCACTAACATTGTTTGAAGACTACATCTACTGGACGGATGGGAAAACGAAATCACTCAGCCGTGCCCACAAAACCTCTGGATCAGACAGGCTATCACTGATTAACTCATGGCATCCCATAACAGACATCCAGGTGTATCATTCTTACAGGCAACCTGATGGTAATTATTCTGCCTATGCTTTCTGTACAGCACATTGGTGTGTTTCATTTAATAGCCAGTTGCTGAGCTCATGAAAGCTCATTTATCTGCAGTGACTTATTTTTATTTCTGTTTTGTTTCAAATTGTGGAAGTTTTCAAATTAGGATTTTTTAAGCATAAATCTGTGATTAATGTTGTGAGTGTGTCTGGTATTAAATGCAGTATATCTTGTTCATTGGTGAGATACCAGTTTGGGTACTTCAGAATTAACCCATATACTGACTGGAAGTACAGAACTGTTGAGCTGTGTTACAGGATGAATTACCAGTTATCAAGATGGGAACAGTGTGTTAGGAAAACATTTAACCTTATTAATTGAAAATTAGAAGAGTGTTGATAATACAGAAGAATACTATTACTTAGAAACTTGTTGGGCTGAGGGAATGTCAGAGAATGAAGGTGTCATGAATGTGTCTGGTCTCATGTCCCCATGTTTGAATTGTAGCTTAATGCAGTTTGGCACTTGACCTAGATAAGTTAATATTTTTTTGCCTCATTATTAAAAAAAAAAAAAAGAGTAGTGCTTTTTTCTTTCTCATTCTTTCAATATTGGATCTACATTCATAGTGCTAATTATTTTTTACAAACAGAAGACTACCTTAAAGGCAAAAGGAAAAGGGTGCCTCTTATGGGTTTTTGATTTGAGATGTTCCATTGTAAAAATAGTTTGTATAATACATTTTTCTTCATCTATAAAGCAGGTACCCTGAAGTATACTGAAATAATAGCCTCTGATACTCTTTTCCTGTTCTGTCCACAGTGTCTAAACATCTGTGCACTGTAAACAATGGTGGCTGCAGTCATTTATGCCTTCTAGCCCCTGACAAGATGTACCTCTCATTCTTTCAATATTGGATCTACATTCATAGTGCTAATTATTTTTTACAAACAGAAGACTACCTTAAAGGCAAAAGGAAAAGGGTGCCTCTTATGGGTTTTTGATTTGAGATGTTCCATTGTAAAAATAGTTTGTATAATACATTTTTCTTCATCTATAAAGCAGGTACCCTGAAGTATACTGAAATAATAGCCTCTGATACTCTTTTCCTGTTCTGTCCACAGTGTCTAAACATCTGTGCACTGTAAACAATGGTGGCTGCAGTCATTTATGCCTTCTAGCCCCTGACAAGATGTATACTTGTGCCTGTCCCACCAACTTCTACCTTGCTGCAGATAACAAGACGTGCTTATCAAACTGCACTGCCAGTCAGGTCAGTGCACACCTATGAGGGGAAGGGCATGTGGAAATTATATTTTGCTGTGTTTCCACCTCCTTTTAAATAATCAATGTTGGTGCCCGTGAAATGAGGAAGCATTAGCCAAAGGAGCTGAAGACTAGGTAACTCATGGGTGCATTTAAAGTATTTCATCTTCAAGGCTATTAGTTGAAAATAGACTTGCAAATGCTTTATTTCCAGGGATTGCAAAACTTGTTCTCTTTGGCATGTTTTTGCCAGTCACTAGAACAAATACAAATACAGCTCCTAAACCTGTAAAAAGTGTTTAGAAAAAACATTTTGATAAAATATGAAACATAAAAATACTAAGTGTAGGTATTAATTGTTTGGAAATATTAATGCATGAATGAACTTTCCATTAATACAAGAAAATAAGCGCAGTCCAGTTAGCTAGATAGGGTTACATTAAAAACAATCCAGTAGCTCAAATGGAAAGGGTAGAATATGCAATTAACAGTTGCATCAGTTAAAACATTGAATTCTTTGTGGGAAGTGGGTTCTCTCTAGTACATCAAATAAATATTTGGTTACTTTTTCTTGAAGTACGAGGTAGATGAACTAGAACATGCTGATTTCTGGTAAGAGAACCATTTTTGATAAATGTCTTTCTACTGTTGGGTGATAGTAATAGTTCATAGGGACTTTAAAATCTTGCTAGTACTCCAGTTTTCTAGTAGTCCAATTTTGTTATATCTGTGTTTATGACCCTTCCAACGTTTTCCATTTTGATGAATTTTGTCTGTAGTCATTAAGGAAAAGCTTTTCCTCTTAATTTTTAGGGAACAGTGGTCATCTCAATAAATGATGTACATTTTCATTCAAGTAATAGTATTACTTAAGAAACCTTCCTACTGTCTTCCTCTGTTCCTTAAAGTAATGATGTGATTTTACTTTTGTTAGCAATTTCTTTTCTGTTTGGATTATTTGCTTGTTACTTTGCATTAAGTGATGAACAAAAAGAAAGTGTTAAACACTTGTAAAATGAGGAATTTCTTACTTGTTTTCCTCCCTCACTTCTCAAATTTATCAGTCAGGTTAAAAACCCCAGCATTTTTATTTAATTTTTCTTTAGATGGCACTGGAAGCTTATTTCCCAGTGAATCTGTATGCTAACAGTTGATTGAGTGGCTCTGTTCCTTTCTAATTCATTGGTAGTCTGAATTGAAGGATAACATCACATCTTGGATTCTCCAGTGGCAATATTTTATCAGTTTTGGATTCCATAGGAGGGAGAGCAGGGTTAAATAGAAGCTGCTTCAGACAGACAGTTACAAGCTGACACTGGGTATTAGTAATTTTCTTCCAATTTTGAAATCTCTTCACTGTTCATCAGTCTGATGGCATCAGATGTAGAGATCAGTGGCAAAAATACAGTTTGCTTCTTAAGATTTTCAGATTATGCTGTTAAATCTTAGCTGTTCCTGTGATGCACTTGACAACACACATCCACTGTTAACCATTTCTGAAGAAAAGTAGTTGGATGGCTGGTAGGCTGGTTTTACACAGCTGCAGACTTACAGCTGTCTTTTGCTGGCTCATCTGAGGTGACAAATGGTCTAATACAAAATGCATTAGACTCCAGAACACTTAAACTCTTGTTGTTCAAGACCATTCCAGCCAGAACCATATGACTTTGAGCCCCAGTTTTTCATAGTGTCCAGCTCCCCAGTTTAGAAGGGAACATAAGCATTTTCCTGCAGAGCATAACAACATCAGAGAGTTAAGCTACCACCCATTTCCTGGAGTTACATTTTTAATGTCATTTTAACAGCCTGAAGGCCTTTGTGATTCTCAGAGCATGGCCGGCACGTTAAAAAATGGTTAAGCAGCAGGGAGGCTAAGTTAGCAAATAGAAAATACTAAGCATGAGAACTGTCTGTGTGTTTGTCTTCTATATTTGGAGGCCTTCTGATGGGCTGCTCAGAGATGCCTGCCTTTGTGAAGCAGTTGAACAGTTCAGAATAGCTGCCTCTCAAACCCAACCTGTTACACAGCATGTCCCTCAACTGAGGGCAAGAAAGAGGTCCCTTCAGCTATAGGTTCTACTACATAAATGGCCCCCAAACCCTGACATTTCTTGGCAGAAAAAATAAAGCTGAGCTAATGCATTCAATCTAATATACATTTTAAATACAGCTTTATTGAATAACCAATGGTGTGTTTTTTAAATGTGAAGAAATTTTAAAATTATGCCTAGTCACAGAAAATGCCTTGCACTTCTAAACCTCTTGGTTTCCTTTCTTTCTGTGCTGATACAGACACCAGGTAGGAAACACAACATTTCTTAAAAGTTGCTGATAATCTGTCTAGCTTTTCCTCCCTTGCATTAACCACATAAAAAACCTCTGGTTTTAGGTGTAGCACTAGAAGATTGCATCAAGTAATTTCTTCTCTTTTCTTTCAGTCAGAACAAAGGTACAATGTTACCTGAGCTCAGAGTAAAGGCACTGCCAACATCTTACAAAGGATTTTTTTCTTCCTTTGCACAAATATTTAATCCTTTTGAAAGATTAGAAGACCTGGGTTCAGATTTTCTCATTTAGTTCAGACAATATAAGCAATCTGTTATACAATACAACCCTGCACGTTAAGGCCCTTTTCTTTAACTGTGGGTGTTTTGGTTTATCTGGGAAAGGATATTAGGTCTGTTTCAACAGCCTTCAAAGAGTGTTTAAGAACTGAAGTGGTTGTTATGAACAAGATCAAATCATGCAGCAAATGCGATGAGTGGTTCGTACCAGGGGCACTATAAGTCAATGGAGCAACGTCATTGAAACTACATTGATTTGCATCAGTGACAGTCTCAGTGCAAAACTCCCCCAAAAAAGAATATTTAAGACAGAATTTTTATAAAATTAACAACCAGGGTTGGTTAATGGAACCATGACTTGAGCAGTGACTCTAGTTTTTCATAAACTGTACTACTTGTCTTGAAAATGAAAGAAATAAATATTCATATTCAAGCTTTTCTTCCTTCTTTCTCTCCTTTCCCAGTTCCGTTGCAAGACTGACAAGTGCATTCCATTTTGGTGGAAATGTGACACTGTTGATGACTGTGGAGATGGCTCTGACGAGCCTGAGGAATGTCGTAAGTGCCTTAGAAGCTGGGACTGAGTTTTGTTGGTGGAGTCCAAATCAAATGTAATGCTTTAGAGATTTTAGGAAGAGGGTTGTTATGGTTTTTTTAAAAATAAAACTTCTCCTTGCAATACTATTCTCTTTTCCTTGGTATCTGTCAGGTTTACAGGGAGTGCAGGCTTTGGTTTCTAAGTGTCTAAAAGATTTTCAATAAGTCATGTCGAATAATGGTCTTTGGAAAATCATAAGAACTTGGGGTTTTGCTAAAGATTTTTATTTTAGACCTAAATTCTGCCAGATTATTTAGTTTATTTTTGTGTGTACTAGAAATGTGGCATTCTAATCTCATTTCCTTATGTTTCATTGAAATTATATAAACAGCTATACACGCTTGTTTAGTGCAATTCCCTGAACAAAAGCAATGGCCTCCATGTGATTCCTACTAAGATTCTGTGTATTTTTCATAATATATTTTTAATAAATATTTTCATTTCCTAGTTTGAGCTAAATCTCACCCCTCCAGTATGAGCAGTTTTATAGAATAAATATTTTTCATGTATCCTGTGTAACTTGTGAAGGTGGTGCTGATACAAGAGTATTTCTCAATAGCCTCCCATAATCCAAATAGTAGGTTACTGTAGTTATTTCCCCATTGCACTGTAAGTTCAACCATCAAAGGATGGTTGCTGTGATGGTAGCTGACAAGTTAATTGTTTAAAAAAGCACCTTTCTAGTGTACTGGATTTGTAAACAGTAATATCTGTTGTTGATGCTGTTTTTCAGTCCCAGTCACTTACTACTTTGCTACTATTATATTAATCTACATAAATTAAAAAGATTCCTGCTTTCTTACCTCAGGCCTATACACACAAAATGCTCTAGTATGTGTTCTACAGTCTTCCAGTTAAGTAATAGTTAATTTGCTTTTTTTTTTTATTGAAATCTCCCACCCATATTTTTACAATTTTATAATTAGTTCTCTTCTTTCTACTGCAGAGGCCTTTAAAGCAAACCTTAATTTACATGAGATTACATTTTAATCTACTCTATGTTGTTAGAAATTATTGCTCTGGAGATGCACAATTGTTCACTCAATTAGCAGTGGGTGTGAGAAGGAACAATGTTAGATCTGGCATGAATTAGAAAGGGATAGTGGGTTTCTTCAATGCAGACTTGAACTCAAGTGTGTACATCCTGAATTGCAAGTCTTTGAGCTAACATTAAGCATCAACCTGTAGCAGCTTGCACTCTATCATTAGTAAGGTGTAGCTACAGTTATGCAAATTTATAAACTCAGATTTTGAAATTAATTTTGATATAGTGTGTGTTCACTTTAGTTACTAGTATCTCTCAGATTGAGATTCTATAGGCGCTTACAAAGGTTTATATGTTCTTTTGATTAGTACATAAAGGAAGAACACTATTGATACTTGAACCACTCCTTTGATAGCATTGATGAGTAGGTTTCTTTTTTCTCAGCTGAATTCAGATGTCAGCCAGGACGTTTTCAGTGTGGAACTGGACTTTGTGCTCTTCCAGCCTTTATCTGTGATGGAGAGAATGACTGTGGGGACAATTCTGATGAACTGAACTGTGGTAGGTGATTGTGTTGTAGACTTCAGAAACATGCTGAACTGAGTTGAGTGCCACACTTCGCATTTAGTCAGGAGAACTAATTCATATTTTCAAATCTTTTATTCTTGACATTTTAATCTTTTTAATTTGATGCTTTTAATTTTTTAACCTAGACACACATGTGTGCCTTTCGGGTCAGTTCAAGTGCACAAAGAATCAGAAGTGTATTCCCATAAATCTGAGATGTAATGGACAGGATGACTGTGGTGATGAAGAAGATGAAAGAGACTGTCGTAAGTTACATTTAAAGACTTCCTCTGAAAGCTGTAGCTGTTTTAAACAATGAGCTGAAGTGAGATATGTAAAATACTGTAAATGTCCCTTCTGTAAATAATTTGAGGAACAGGAAAAAGTAATTTGTGGGATAGTTTGATGTACAGTTCTTTATATGCAGGAGAGCAAACTAAGATGTCATTTATTAGCTTCATTTTTTAAAGTAATTGCAAAGAAGAAGAGTGTGTAAACAATTAATTTCAAATATTTAATTGGGTTTCTGACTTAGGCTGAAACATTCATTTTACTCTTAACCACCTCACAAATGACTCATCTTCTTGAGGCTTTCATCTGCCATGCCTTCCAGCAATGTATTTCAATGGAAGAAGATATTTTTATGTGCCTTTCATTGGAAAAGATGTAGATCCATAGCTCCTTCTACATGCTTTTTCTTTGATGGAGTTTTCTACTTTTTCTATTCCCTTTCCTCTAGGAACTTCTTCAATAATTTGCCTATGTAACTTGATTTTCATTTACTCAGCTTTTAATACATCTTACTTTTCATAAATTCATTTTCACTCAATATTTCTTAGAGACAAGTAGAGCAAATATTTTCATATATAGAATGGAAATGTATTGAATAGTTTGTGTCTTATATCATTTTGTAATTAAAATAATGGTTCTGTCTTGAAATACATCTCTGTCCTTCACTCAGTTCATTATTCAGATCTACTGCTGATCTAAGGTACTTATTCCTATTTTCTGAATTAGCTTTCTCAAAGTTTGCATATGTTGCATTTCTGCAAAGACCATGACCTTCTCCAAGGGAAGGGTTGCTAAGGACACAGAAGCTTTGTTGATGGTCATGTTGAATGGCCATCTTCCAAGCAGCTCAGCAGGGCTGTAGCCTCTGGCAGACAGTATTATACCTTTGTTTCATGTTACATTCCTTAAAAAACTGATAAAGTGGGATCAGGTAAACAGAGGAGATCGTTGTGGGGCTTTTTTTGGTATGAAAATCTGCACATGGTATATGGAAGGCTTCCAAAACCTTGAGCTGACAGAATTGAAATGAGCTCAGAGCAGTGTGGTCTGCAGCACAGCAGTGCTTGGGGACCGTGGGAGGGACAGGGTCAGGTTCAGTGGTGGTGGAGCTGAAAGCTTCCTAGGGATAGGTGGAGACAGGACAGTCTGCTGTGACATCAAGCAAGCTTTTGAATTGTCTGAAACTCAGCCATCTACACCCCTGCAAAGGTAAAGTTGGGTGTGTGGGAGGTTAGTGAGGTACATCTTTTATTTGTTTTGTCCTACCTAGGCTTTATTAGCTTCTCTCTTAAGAAAGTGAAGTGTGCTAATTTGTATTTTAATAAATCCTTGCTCATGGCTTTTGAAAACTTTTTTCAGATGCCTTTGGGGAGACTATAAAAAGGGGAGGGTGCAAGTGGGTCTACCACAAAGTTCATTTTGGCTGTAAATAATTTATCTGTATATACAGTCCAAATATACGTCCTTTATTCATCTTGCCTCTATACTCTTAGTTATAAGAGTTTAAGAAATGGTAAGACCAGACATATATATATGTGGGGGAGTTGATGTAGCATCACATGTGTGCACTAAGGGCCTTCTTGTTGTCAAGTGGCCTTTCTAAAGTTATAACACTTAAGCTTAAACTTGAAGCATCCTGAAATAATAGGATGAAGGTTACCTGCAACTTTGCATCTTTATCTCAGTGTAGGATTCATTAAAAAAAAATTGTTCTGCTAAACTGATAAAGTGAAATAATTTTCCAATGGTTCTCCTATTTACCCATGGTCTCCTTTAGGAAAGCACAGAATTTCACCCAAATTGTACAGAATTTTGATTACACTTTCCACGAAAGCATTGAGAGCTGCCTTAGTCCTTCAAATTAACTGATTTCAGTTTTGTTAACTGGTGTTTTAGGAAGTTAGAAAAAAATCTTTTTGCTTTTTATTAAGGTGATTTGACTGTATCAATGTTAAGTCTGTTTGTTGTTAAATGCATGTCTCAATAGGCACTTTGATTATTAGATTTGTTTGACTTTTATTTTACAACATAATATACAAAAAGAATATGAAATGACAAACAATATAAACCTGAATGCTGTTTTCTTCACAATTTTATGTGATACTAGAGGCAACAGATTTCTGAATTTCGAATCCTTTTTTTCTTTGAAAATGTTATCATTTAAATAGTAGCAGACATTTCTAGTTTTAATTTGGAAACTTCTTATTTAAAGCTGAAAACAGTTGTTCTCCAGACCATTTCCAGTGTAAAACAACAAAACACTGCATTTCTAAACTGTGGGTATGTGATGAAGACCCAGACTGTGCTGACGGATCAGATGAAGCTAACTGTGGTGAGTGTGCCAGTGGTTTTGAATTTATTATTGTAGCTTGACATTTTGGAAGGAAGTAGCAAAAGGAAATAACTATCCTACATGATATATGCTTTTTCAATGTAAGATAATACCTGTCTGATATGATAGCTGTATCTGGCTTGTACAGTTCTGAATGCTAATCTTTATATGAGTAGTCTATAAACTTCATATTATACTACTACTTTATTGGCAGAAGATGTAAATGAGTATTTCACTTGGAATACAGTGAGATTCTTGTTTTTTTTCTCATAGTGTTATCCAGTTTCTGTCAATTTATTCTGCATACTTTGCTGCTGCTGTTGTTAATAAATAGTGAAAAATGTAATAATTTGCAAATCATGTTAGTTAAGACTGGCTGTGCAGAAGGATCCAGAGCAGATTCGGATTGATATGGTTGATTGTTGCTTCTCTCTGTGAGAGCTTCAGTGAGTTATGGGCCCTAACACATCACTGCACAAACCCTGCATCCCCATAGGACCTCTCCAGGAACCCCTGGTACTTAGGAAACTTTTGTACTGGAAGCCAATATTTTTAGGAGGCAGAGAGATCCTCTACAGAGAAAATAAAGTATAGAATCCCACCATTACCAAACCAAGCCCTAATTTCTGTTAATTTTCCACAATATCCAGAACCCCAGTGCTCCTCCCCACTGAAGCAGATTTTTTAAAGAATGTGAGTACTAGCTTTGAATCCAAGAATTTCTTTCATTGCTTTTTTGAAGAGTCATTGTTGGATCACAAGTATAACTACAGTTTTCAGCATGTTTTTCACTGACAGAGCAGATAGATTGATTATTTTTCTGCAGGAAGAGTTAAAATTATTTTTAAAGAAAATTCTTACAGAAACCTGAAAGTATCTAAGCAGTTTTCCCATTGGTCTATACGTGACATTGTTGTATATGCCTGCTGTTCATCACCACTTGAAAAAAAAGGCCACACTGTGGTATCATAGAATCATAGAATGGTTAAGGCTGGAAGGGACCTTAAAAACTCATCAGGTTCCAACCTCCCGTAGTTGTTCACAGTCATTGCTTGCATTTCTGGAAAATACTGAGTCAACTCTTCTGCTGTAAATGAAATAAAATAGTAAACACAATATTCCACTCGGGAAATGGATTACAGATAATTAAAGTCAAAATAAGTGGATCAGTATTGATGGAAAATCATTGGACTTGGATGTCAATTCCAGACCTGCACTCACCAAGTGCAGAAAAACTTGTGGAAATTTCAAAACGGGGCTGTAAAGAAAAAGACTCAAAAAAGTGTTCTGATATGGAAAAGAACAGGACAAATAGTTGTACAAAACATTCAAAGCTGACCATTAGTCATCCGCACATCCGTAAATGTTTTGATGAAGCACATGAGTGTGGACAAGTTTATGCTGCCACTGGGACAACAGACTAATGGAATTACAGGCTGGATCCAGGAGCAAAGCACTGAAAGAACCACATTTCCATGGATATGTTTCAAGCAATTGACATGAGCATGTATATGAAAATGTTGGAGCTAGTAAATATGTCTAGGAAATCGAACTCTTCCTCAGCACAAAAAGTGCAAGACCATAATTTGAATTGTCAAGAAAGGGAAGCAAATGATATCAAGTGGAGAGAAGTTACAGTTCAAAAAGCATTTGACTTGAAGAAACAGTGAATTCAAAGCTTATGAAAGAACATGAACCTAATCCATAGAGATGTCCTTTATGCTCTTCTGAGCTATTCTGGAACTACTTCTGCACTGCTCACTGATAGGTGTTTTCTCCTTCACTGTCTCCCATCACCTTGATCTCCAACATGCCTTCCAATGTGGACAGCATTCCAAGCTTCCAAACTGTGGATTCATATTTTGAGTAAAACATGCAAGTCCAACTGGTATGGCACAAAGGGTCTTAAAATAATTCATGTAATATCCTTAAGACATGAAGTTTAAAAGGAGAGAGGTACAAAAAAATCCCTGTCACACTGAACTAGAAACACTGGATTTATGATAAGCACTTCACTGTAATTCATCATTTTACAAAATAGAATAAAATCCAAATTACTTAAAAATTAAATAGTGTAGAGGTGCAACATGTATAATCCCAAATTAAATAGCTTTTTCAGGCACAATGTATACAATCGATTATGCTGGATTATGAAACATCCCTAGGATACTCTTCCAGGCTCTAACAATTTGAGACTCAGAGATACTTTGAGTCAAATGATTCTCTGTATGCAATAACCCTGGATGGATTTCATTTGTCTTTAGCCTTTTTACGGTTTCCCTCCCTGAAAATCCACCTCCATTTTTATTCTAAATCTCTTACTGCATATCATGCTCTCAGTTTTTGTGTTGGAGGAGGCAGAACAGTTTATCTGTATTCAATCTCTCTGCCACTTGCCATTATGTACACTCATGGAACAACTAAGCCTTCACAAGAACAGGATGAGTTTAATCACATTTTAAAGTTTTCCATAATTGTAGCATTTGAAAGATGTTTAAGTGATGTTATTACAGCAGTAGTTTGAACACAGTTTAGTCTTCTGCATTGTTTTAAATTTTAATTAAAACATGGTTATTTTTGTGAACAAAATTTGATAGAATTAAATTATAAAGCTGCAAGCTGAGTTGCATATGTTGGTGCAAGTACTAACTTGGAATCTTTTACAGTTCATTTCTAAAATGCTTGTAATGCAAAACTTGTCTAAAGGATAATCTTGTGTCAGCTCAAGTGCTCCATAGTCATATATTTTGCTTAGTCAACGTTTGCTGCTGTGTGTTATTGGAGATATTATACTGAGTAAATTTGTTAGAAGTAGTCTTGAATGTATTTAATCTTCTGTGGTTAATTTCAGAGTTAGACAATTAAAGTAGAATTAAGAAATGTCTGCTTATTAATCAATGTATGGTGTTTTTCAATGAACAGTAGGAAGAGTTAATTCATGCTTACTGTCTGAGCAATTAAAAGAAACCATTAGATTATGGTAATCCTTGCTCACAACTTTAATAGTTTATGTCACAAAAGGCCCTGTTTGAGTTAGATTCTGAGAAAAGCCGTGGCCTTGGAAAGTGATTATCATCTGCTTTAAAGGTTATATTTATTTTGAGACTTTATTAACATAGTGCATCAACAGCAGTGTGACTGCTTTCTGCTTCCTCTGGTTTTTAATATCAAATTTAGCCCAAAGTTAAAGTGGGTGTTTTTCAGATAATGAAGAATGTGTTCCTGGAGGTGTTGGAAGGATGCATTATATAAATTTAAACTTCCTTCACTGGGCAGATAATTTTTTGTACCCAGCATCAGTGACAGCCTGCCCAGCTCTAAAACAGCTACTCGACTTGTCCGTCAAAAGAGTTGTTGTTTTTTTTTTAATTTTGGATTTTATCCCTCTCCAATTTTCACACACAAACACATAAATGCACAAAAATGCAGATAGAGGGAATTAAAATCCCCAAATGGCAATATAGTGCAATTACTGGCAAAATACTGGTTTACTTTACAGGGTGTTTGCATCAAAATGTTTTTAGGGTGTCTTTGTAATATTTGGGGTTTGTATGTGATATTTTGGGGGTTGTTTTGTTTTCCACATAAGCCTTCATCTTATTTTTTTCATGCTAATTTAGAATTACTTCTAAAATAAAATTCTAGATCACTGTGCACAAAAGACGAACCCCAAACAACCAGCAGCTACCTCAGGTAGCCACACAAATATCTGAAAGGAGCCCTTTGCCTGTTACAGTAGCCCAATATTTATTTAATAATAATAGGAAAAGAGAAATATGAACATTGAGTTGTCACTACTTACTTCTCTGTCTTTGCACTCTTGCTATCTGAACTTTCACATTTTATGGTGGTGTCATTGTAAGAGAAATGGAAAGCAATTTAGTGTTGAGGACAGCAATGACAAAATGTAAGTCCATGTGGGCTTTTCAGGGTTCCACGGTTCAAACAGTAAAGTTTGAGTCAAGTAAACAGTCTCTAAAATCAGATATTTTTTACACAGTTTTCTCAATTCCTCCTCTCTTTGTATCTTCATTCTAGTATCCTGGGTGTTTCATTGGGTCTCAGTAACATGAAGAAGGAAACACAACACAAGCAGATCTGTTTTGTAAGACATTATGAAGTGTAAGCTGCTGTG